TTGTGATTTCTACATTTTTCTATTTCCTAATGGGGCGTTTGAGGCAGCAGGTTTTTAGTGTTTCTTCAGGTTCCATGATGTCTTGCTACACCAGTGATTTTTTTTTTGTTTGTTAGAAAATGAAGACAAGACAACAAAATAAGTTGCGTTGTCAAGTTCACATTTGAACTTGTGTTCTTACCCTCTGTGAGGTTTCAGCCATTTCCACCAACTCTTCCAGCCTGCCCTCCTGAGACCCTGCGACTGGCTGTGATTTCTGGGACGCTCTGCTATCTCTGCCAGCCAAACCTCCCTGTGTGGCTAAATAATGAGATGCATCGTGAATGTGGACAGGCGGCTGAATGGCAGAGGGAGAGAGTGACGGAGGGCCGTGGATCATGATCTGAAGCCTCAGTAGAGGATATTAAGGGCCATTCACTGACAGCGACAAAGTGAACAGAAGTCCGTCATTTTCAATAAGAGTTGTCATCATGACCTGGGCACGTACTGTGCAAAGATGAGAAAGTTTATTGTTTATTATTGAAGCATCATTTGTCTCCTAGTCAAGTTTGGGCAGGAGAAGTTAATGGTTCTGTGAGTGATTCCAGTGCTTTGTATGATTTGTCTTTGTCCACATTAAAAGTGGAGCATGGAAGACGGTGTCAGAAATTGTCGTCATTCTAACGGAGTTTGATTTACTCATTGATAATAGTTCCTGTTCATGAAATCATGTAGTTCATATTCAGACGCTTTCACTGCATGTTAATTTTTAACAGCATGGAAACGGATTACTTGTCAAAGTAGAATGAAAGAATCTTATTTTTATATTCAGTAATAAAACTGCTGTTGGTGTGAACCCAGCTGACAAAAGTATGTTCTCACAATGTTTTGCTGAAAATATTATGTCCGACTGTTGTCTGAACATTCAAAACCTTTTTTTTCTTCTTTTTTTTTACATTTGAAAAATGTTTTTCTGGTCGTGTGAACGCTAAGGGAAAATTATATTTAATCATTGTATCATTTTGCAGACATTAACATTACTTTTGAATGTTCTCTGAAATGAAGCAAGTAATAACATTTAAAAATGTCAGATGAATATCCAACTAAAATTTACGGTGGCCGAGAGAGCTCGACGCGCTGCAAATGAAAAAACACATGCAAATTAAGAAAACATCTTCATCAATTTAACAACACACTCGCTGCAAATTCTCACAACACAACCAACTACAGAAACGTGCTGCAAATTCTCACAACACAATTCTTGTTTGTTTGTTTTGTATTTGCAGCGCGTTTCTTTGTTTGTGTTGTGAGAATTTGCAGTCAGGCCTGAAACCTGACTGAAATTCTTCATAGAGATAATTTTTTTGCAGGAAGGAGCACAGTTGAGCAGACATAACTTTTTCTAAAATTTTAGACATAAAAGGAAGATTTGAGATGGGTCTGTAATTAGCCAGTTCACTAGTATCTAGTTGTAGTTTCTTAATAAGAGGCTTAATAACCACCAGCTTGAATGGTTTTGGGATGTGACCTAAAGACAACGACAAGTTAATAATATTGAGAAGCAGTTCTTCTGCTACAGGTAACAACTCTTTCAGTAATTTAGTGGGTACAGGATCTAACAGGCATGTTGTTGGTTTAGATGCAGTGATAAGTTTATTTAGCACTGCAGTTGGTTTAGATGCAGTGATAAGTTTATTTAGCACTGCAGTTTATCTCTTGGTGCGATGAATGAAGCTGAAGTATTATACACTGTAGAATCTACATTTGTTATTGTATTTCTGATGTTATCTATTTTATCAGTGAAGAAATTCATAAAGTCATTAATATTAAACTGTGAGGGAATATTTAGATCAGGTGGCGTCTGGTTATTTGTTAATCTAGCCACTGTGCTAAATAAAAACCTTGGATTGTTTTGGTTATTTTCTATGAGTTTGTGGATATGCTGGACATACTGTTTTTCCATGCAATTCTAAAAACTTCCAAGATAGTTTTTCTCCATTTGCGCTCAAGACTACGAGTTTTTTTCTTGAGAGAATGGGTATTACTGTTGTACCATGGCGCAGTACTTTTTCTCGAACCTTTTTCAGTTTGATGTGGGCAACAGCTTCTAATCTATTAGAGAAGATAGTGCCCATGTTGCTAGTCATTTCGTCTAGTTCATGTGTACTTATGGGTACACAGAGCAGTTGAGATAAATCAGGCAGGTTATTTGTGAATCTGTCTTTGGTGGCTGGAACAATCGTCCAGGCAGAACTGGACTTTCTGGACTTTCTTCTTTCAGACGAATCCAGTTGGAGTAATATAAAAAAATTGTCTTTGATCTTTCAAGCTGTTTAATGCCACTCAGCGGGTGTTGCATTACTTCAGTCCAAAAGAACTTAAATAAAAATCGCCCATCCATAAAAAAAATTATAATAATCACTTGAATCTAGCTTACACTCACTGTTGTAAACAGAGGCAGTTCTGGGGGAATGACGTATGAGGTCGGCTTTGCGTATGCGCCACTCAGAAGTGACGCACGCGGAAATGCAGGGGAGAGATCAAAACAAAATAATGGTCAAGAATTAGAAGTACAAAACGAGGATTTGTAAAGAAGAATGTCAGAGGATTTCGATATAAGCCAAGAGGAGACTGGTTTTCCTTTGCTAAAGTAAGGAAACTTTGCTTCCTTTAATCTTGTAAACAAACGTTGGTTTTCACGAGACTCACCGGCGCATGCGCAGCGCTGACCTCATATGTCATCCTCCCGGAACTGCTTCTGTGTACAACTGTTGGTGCAAGCTACATTAAAGTGATTATTACGTTTTGAATATGGATATTTTTCTTACACTGGATTCGTCTGAAAGAAGAAAGTCATATACACCTAGGATGTTTCGGGGGTGAGTAAAACGCAGCCTAATTTTCATTTTTGGGTGAACTAACCCTTTAAGAGGGGTGCCATAATGTCGCTCAATTTCTCTGGTTGATAAGGACCGCAGTATGTGTGATGTGTGCCCTTCAAATGACTTCATAATAATATATTTTTAGACATTTTGATTAGCTCAAATTTTTTCCCAGTTTAATTTCCCTTCAAAGCCACTTTATCATTCCTATTCTCTCAAATGTATAGCATTCTCATTTAAATATAGATTTATTACATTTGTTGTTAAAGAGATTCCTGCTTTTTCTCTGCCTTCTCAGCAAAGGAATTGTGTTCAGATGAATTCATCAAAAAGATGTTAATGACTTGAAGTGTTTCTCGTGCAGGCTGGGTTTCCAGCTGTGAATGTCAAAAGTGACTCTTTAAAAATGTATTAATATGGTCTGTTGTTCCATTCACAGGCTCAACCTTTCCCCCTGCACACTCCACTTCCATCATCATGGAAGTGCTGAAAGAAAATTTAAATATTTCACTTTCACTCAAAGAAAGTAAAATTGTCATGCTTAAATACCCTTGATCATGGCTGGGTTCATTTTGAATGCAGGGATGAGGGCTCTGAGACCTGCTAATCTCACAATGCTGGTCAATTAGATTTTTTTGAGATATTAAACAACATGTTGTCAAAAAAAATTAATTTGCAAAAAAAATTTACCTTTAGCTTGTCGCTGGGTCAGTACCCTAAACATTAGTACCTTATACCCCTACAACATGCATAATACAACTTTAATTTAATCTTATGCTCTCCCTGGCTGCATTTAGATTATCAAATGTATGGTAAACACAGTAATGTTGTGAAATATTATTACTACTGTATTTAAACTGTATTACTCTTTTCTTTTTGAATATATTTTAAAATGTAATTTATTCCTGTGATGCAAAGCTGAATTTTCAGGATCATTACTCCAGGCTTCAGTGTCCCTTGATCCTTTAGAAATCATTCAGATCTACTGATTTTCTGCTCAAGAATAATTTCCTTTTATTAATTAATGTTCCTTATTATTAATTAATGTTGAAAACAATGTTGCTGCTTAACATTTTTGTGGAAACCTGATACTTTTTTCAGGATTTTTTGATGAATATAAAGTGCAAAAAGAACAGTATTTTTTATTTTTTTATTTTTTGGTAACACTAAGTCTTTACTGTAACTTTTAATTATTTTAATGCTTCCTTGCTGAATAAATCAATCAAAAATCAAGCTGTATATTCTGTGTATACATTCACAAATATTTACAAATTATTATTATTTTTTATTGATATTAGCAATAGGATTTTAGTGCTCAGGTCCATTTTAATTAATTTTATCATCCATTATATGTGGGTTTAGCTATTGAAAACATGAAAAATTGGTCACTGGGGGAAGTTTACTGAAGACGAAAGGTTTAATAGTTTGATATAATCAGTTATGAACTGTCCAGCCACGTAACTTATAAAGTTACATTAGTTGATTATGAAGCAGCAGCCAGTGTCTGAATAATGAAATTGCTTCATTAACTTCATATTTGTTTCCCTTCAAGAGTGAATGAAACTATACTAACACATTTGAAACAACCAGCCATGGCCTCATTCATCAGATGGTTGTTTGAGGCTATGAACCTGCCGTTGATGATGTCTTACAGTATAAATATAAATTTTTAAAGCAGGCTTAGAGAACACAGTGTTCATTGGAGCACTAGGTTTCTAAACCTAGTAATATTTGTTAGAGGGTAACAGAAGGGAGGGATTTGAAAGAGATGTGGAGTCTATCGGCTCAAATATACTACCTCCACATAAAGCATACCGTATGTTCCCAATCTCTACAGACACAGTGATATACTCACAATCGTGCTTGATCTTTTATAAGCTCCTTAACTTGCGAATTGGGGTGATTTCAATCTTAAATCATGTTCTAAAAAGAGAGATTATTTTCATTGCACTTTTTTTATAAATCATTTAAACTGGTTTCATAGAGCAGTCAGGGTTATATCCTTAAGGTGACCTCCGAATGAACCGTATGTCTTTTATATGCGCATAAAGTTTATTAAACATTATCTATGCTGTTAAGTATGCTAAATGGCTCAAATGTCGTCACTTGATTTCTAATTCTCCCTCTTCTCTGTTGTAGAAATCTTGAATGGAGGTGTGTATGTGGATCAGAATAAGTTCCTGTGTCATGCTGACACCATCCACTGGCAGGACATCATCAAGAACCCACGTTCTGAACTTCTGGTTGTGCCCTCAAACAATAGTGGCAACACGTGTGAGTGTTTAGATGAGTTTAATGATTAAAACTGGGCTATAATAATTTATGTTTTTCATAGATAAACTGGAACTGTTTTGTGTCCTTTCAAACATTGTATTTGGATGTATATTTCAAGCTTTAATAAACAAGAAGTTAGGTAAGGTGCTTTAAACTATTTAATGCAATACTGAAATATTGGTGAAACTGGTGACACATTATCATACTCTTCATTAATAACATTCACATACTTTATTACATTATATACATTTTAACAGGTTATTAGTTAATAAATTGTTAGAAATGTCATGCAATATTAAACCATATGTAAGCATATTTTATACCGTCCATAAGCTTGGGTTGGTTAGGTGTTTCTGAAAGAAGTCTCTTATGATCAAAAATACAATAAAAGCAGTAATATTGTAAGTATTACGATGTAAAGTGTTTTAATATTTTTTCAATGTAATTTATTCCAGTGATTGCAAAACTGAATTTTCAGCATCATTACTCCAGTCTTCTGTGTCACATGATCCTTCAGAAATAATTTGTATATGCTGATTAGCTGCTCAAGAAATATTTCTTAATATTATAAATTTTGAAAACACTTGTGCTGCCATGATACTTTTTTAGGAATTTTTTGATGAATAGAAAGTTCAAAAGAACATAATTTATTTGAAACATTTTTCTAACAGTTTAAATGTATTTATTGATACGTTTAATCAATGTAATATTAGTATTAATTTAATAAAAAATATTAAATTGACAATTTAATTTAAAGGGGTCATATGATGTTGCTAAAAATAACATTATTTTATGTATTTGGTGTAATGAAATGTGTTTCTGCAATTATTTTCCACATACTGTACATTAATGTTTCTCCTCTATGCCCCGCTTTCTGAAACGCATCGATTTTTACAAAGCTCATCGGTCTGAAAAGCGAGGTGTGCACTGATAGGCCAGCTATCCAGTGCGTTATGATTGGCCGAATACCTCAAGCGTGTGAAATGTTACGCCTCTTACCATATTGTGATGATGCCCTGCCCGGCCGGAGCGACGATTCAAAAACATGAAAACCCATTATAAACGATGCATTCGTTGCATCCAGTGGGGACATAATTATGAATTATAATGACTTATACTGTCTTTTTACGCGTTGTGTTGTGTTGCGTTGCGCCGCGTAAACATAAAACCATGTCTGCATTTGTGATTGGAGAAATGATAAACAACAAGCGCTACTCTACACTGCCCAAAACTCGCGTTTGTATCATCAGTGGCAAATTCTTTAAACATAAAAAACGTACTTACAATATGTGAGTCAGAAAAGCCGGCATTGTTGTCTACTCTAGCAGGATCAGGAAACGTCCTCCAAAAAATGTGCGGCACACATCTGAATATTTGGGTTGAAGTGTTCTGGAACAGTGTTGTAAATACAACTTAACCACTAATTTCTAGTCGTGTCCATTTTTGGAAAGCCAAACAAAGTAGTTTCGCTTTCACAATGAAACACAGCGTCACACATGGCGGCCTAGAGTGAGCGGCGGCGGCCTAGAGTGAGCAGAGGCCGGGGGCTAGAGTGAAGAACGGCCGGAGGGCTAGTATGACCGGAGGCGGGTGGGTTTGAGAACGGCGCAGCCGGCAGTTTCGGCGAAGGAGCGTTCGAAGGGCTTGCAGCAACCACATGTGACGACCCCAGGCTGGAATTCGCTTCGTCCATGGTGAAAGCCGATCCGGTGATCCACAGCGCAAAGTTGTTGTATTTCCTTAGCAACCAGCACGGATCAGCTTTAGGCTCTAGGCATGACGAAGCGGATATTGTTCTCTTTTGGAAGGCCAAACAATGTAGTTTCGCTTTCACAACGAATCACACAG